GGTCGCTCCGGACGCCGCGGGCGCGGGAGCGCGGACATCCTGGGTCCCGGCTGAGCGTGTCCCGGGAGCCCAGCGGTGCTAGCTCACTCTGGGCAGGGCAGACCCCCGTGGGACCCGGCGCCGGCTGTTCTGGACTGGACAGAGCGAAGCCTGGACGGTGCCAAGCCGGGGGAATGCCGGGTGCGGGCTGAGGGATCCCGGCGCCCTCGGATCCCTCCGACTTTGGCTAACGAGCTGGGACTGGCCCGGCGTCGCCTCGGTCTCCCTGAGCCCGAGTCACCTGTGGCCTCCGAGCGCCGGGCCCGCCGGACCCTTGCTTCTTACCCACCCAGAGCCCGGCGGGGGTTGGGGGAGATTTTTCCTTCCCCCTTTCCGGGAACGCGGAGGCCCCGCCCCCTCCCACCGCCCAGATGTCTCCAGGGGTGGTTCTGAGGACCTTCCTGAGGCCAGGGGCCGAAGGGTCCAGAGAAAGAAGCCCGCCCTAGGGAGCCTGGGGGCCCCCCCAACCTCGACTTGGGGCTTGGCCCCCAACGCTGCTCGGAAGGCAGGCCGGTGCCCCCACCCTCGGTGAGTCCGGGAGCGGAGCAAGGGTTCTGAGGGAAGGCGGGGCTGGGGAAGGGAGGGTCTGCTGGGAACGAGGGCACCCTGAGGACACTACAAGGGAGGACCGAAGACTGGAGAGACCCTCTGGTGAACCTGTGGTGCCTGGCCTGGCTGGGGAGGGGGTACTTGGGGGAAGCTGGGGCACGGTGCCCCATCGCAGGCTGAGGACTTCTGCCTCTAAAGCAGGGGCTCCTTCTTTTCCTTCTGTAGACCATCTGCCTCCATCTACTTCCCCACAAAGAAAAAAAAAAATCCCCAGAGAAGAAGGGTGCAGGCTGGGGAGAGGAGGGAGGCAGCAGCATTGCCGGCTGGTGCTGCAGCCTAGGAGGGCTGACGCCAGGCTCGCTTTCTCTGCAGGGGGCTGATTCTCCAATCCAGCTCTCTTCCCAGAGCTACCCACATCTGGAGCCCCCTCCACATCTGGAAGACCCCAGCCACCATCTAGTTGCATCCAGAGACCTCTGCCTTTGCAACTGCCCAGGAGTCGTGAAGGGGTTGCTGCTGCCTTCCCCTAATCACAAGGGCATCTCTTACTCTTAGTCCCTGCAGAGTCATCCCCCTGCCTCTGTGTCCAAGCTCAGCCAGACATCAGCCCAGCATACCCACAGGCACTTCAAGTCCTGGAGGCCACTCCTGAGACCCAAAGCCCCTCCCCCACCCCTCCTGTGTCCTCACCTTGACCCCCTCTGTCAGATTCTGTCTCCCTCTGGGTGTCCCATTCCCCACCCAGAGGCAGAGGAGGAGAGAGGTCAGGGGGCAGGGGCTGGGTGAGGGCCACCCAGGGCCAGGGTGGGCTGGGGGGCCGTTAAGATGTGGAGCTCTGCCTGGCCGAGGGGGGCTTCGTGGAGGCAGACGCAGTGTGTGCCTGGCTGGGGGGAGTATGGGCAGGCCTGCGGCCACGTGGTAAAGGATGAACATTCGGGGCACCCTGGACCTCGGGCAGCCCAGTGACGACCCCAGCAGTGGTGGCCAGCGTGAGCGGATTCGACAGCGCATGAAGATGGTCATCGGGCAGCTCGAAGGCATCCTGCGGGAGCTCAAGGAGGTGGCCAAGGAGCTCAGGGAGGTGAGTGACAGGCCAAGACGGACCCTAGACCAGTGTTCCTGGGCCTGCCATGAAAACGTACTCTCATATGTATGTTTCAGTGTGAGTGTGTGCACACATGCATGCAAAACTGTGTGCACATGTGTCATTCTGCTGGGTACCTCCTTCTTGTTCTCCTTTCTCCAATTCCGCTTTGCTAAAAATCTCACCATAGCCCAGAGCTAGAAGGGTCTTGGTGTTGCAAAGATTGCTTGAACAGCATGTTGTGGCTCTGTGGTTAGTGCTCAGGGCTGCTGAGGTGGCCAATAAAGACTGAGTCCCACCATGGCCTCTTCATGGGAGATACATGTCTGGAGCCCAAGCCGATCTTTGGCTTCATCATCTGCTTCCCAGACTCTGAGGTGATCACAAGGGGTCCTACGAGACAGTGGATGGCTCTAATGAGGCAGTTCCCACTGCTCAGGTCCCAGGCTCAGAGCATTCTCCAGAGATCACACAGATACTCAGAACCCTTGATCCTGGAAAAATTAGGGCCAGCTAGGCCCTCCTCCTTTCCCTGAGGTGAGAATATGTCTAAGGGGCTGCTAGTGGGTGTGAGTTCCTGTGTATATTAGCAAGGGTAGGAATCACCTCTAAAAAACTACCCCATAGTTCTGAACGTTTTTTGCCAAGGCTGGAAAGTCACTGAGAGACCCAGGGATGTGTGTCCCTCTCTGTCTCTCTAAGTGGAGCCCGCTTTAATTACTGCTCCCACGTTGCTAGGGTAATGAGATACACATGTCCTTGGCCCTGCCCCCTGGGCTATGTTCGAGCCCGAAATGCATGACCAGCGTTCTGAGCCGCTGGCCTGAATTTGCCCCCTGAGTACCATTATGCCAGCCAGGTGGGCTTTAGGCAAATTTCAACTCCGTGTAACCAGAGCCCCTGCGGAGATGGCAGGGAGAGTGATTGAACTGGAGTTATGGACTTGAGTTCTTCCCAGCCAGCTGTGTGGGGAGAATGGGGGCTCTTGGAGGATTGAGGAGAGTGGGCGATCGTGGGTACCAACTGCAGACTGGCAACATGGCCTTCCAGCCTTGCCTGAGAGCCAAGGAGCAGGGAGTATTTGAAGGGAGGTGTGTCCAGAGTGGAAATGCCGGGCAGGAGCTGAGGATGAGAAAGGCAGCCCCTCTGCCTGGAGTCAGCCTCATGGAGACTGCCAGGAATTCCTTCCTCAGGAGGCGGGAGTGGCTGTTATTGCAAGTAGAGAGAGGTGGTGGTGCTTCTGCCCATAGACTGGGCTGGCTAGGGTCTGCGCTGAACATCTCTGGAGAATACAGTTTGGTGGTCAAAGGCCAGAGGCTCCTGAGCAACCCCTTCTCCCCCAAACTTATTGGTCCAAAGGACAACCAACCTCTCTTCGTCCCTCCCCACGCCCCACCCCTCATCTTATTTCAGATGTTCTGTAGTTTCGTCAGTCAGGGAAACTGTCCAGAGTTTCAGTCTTGGGCAGGGGCATGGGACCTATGTCCCAGTAGGCCCACCCAGAAAGAGCCAGGATTGACTCTAAGCCTGGGAGTTGGCTTTGATATAGCAGAGAGCCTACTTCCAACTGACCAACTGAGCATCTTCCAGGCATTTGCCCCCACCCTAGTATAGCTATCTAGAGCTTGAAGGCATCTGACAGGTTATCCAGACCAGCCCTGTTCATTTATTGTTGAAGAATCTGAAGACTAGAGAGGGAAAGGGTCTTGTCAAAGGTCACAGAGCCTACCAGTGGCAGATCTAACCCTGGAACTCAGGTTCCAGATGCCTACTCTGGGGCTTCAGCAGATGGGCTAATGGGCAACGTTTTCCATTTTGTTAGGGACCTTCTAGAGATGATACCTTATACTCATGCAGTCTCTGAGAGGGTGCCTTTTAGGGGGTAAGGCAGGAAGATTTATTTGCAAATGTACTAGAATTTATTTACAGATCTTTTGAGTCCCCTCCCTCCCTTCTCAGCACACATACTCACTCACTCCCATGTTCTGAACAGCAGAGCTTCAGGTTCATGGGCTGTGTAGCCCGGAGGCCTGAGCCAGGACAGAGAAAGATGAGTCCCTTCCCCCATACCCCCTGTAGACCATGTGCCTCCACCCAAGACTTTGGCAGGTTGCTAAGGCAACCAGAATCTACCCCGTATGCCACCGTCTGCCCGCTGCCAATGGCACCTAGCTGGGAGGGGGTACAGGCCTCAGAGCTCCCCTAGCCCCCAGGCAGGGTCTGGACATGGGGCAACGGGCAGAGAGGAATGTTGGGGAAGACAGGTGAGGCTCTGGGAGGCCCAGGTAGAAGAGGAGATGCCATAATTGACTTCCTGTGGGATGGGCTTTGTCAAGAATGGGGTTACCAAGTAGGGGTTCCAGGCCCTGGTTTGGGGTAAAGGTTTGCAGCCTCCCTGGAACCTGTGATCTTGGCTCTTGGTCCTCCAACGGGGCTGTTAAGTTGAATCAGCCTGGCTCTTCTCAGTTGCTTTGTGTGGCATTTTCTAGTGGAAGGCATGGGTAGGCCTAAGGTTGAGAGGGTTTTTTTATCACACCCCACTCCCCAGACAGCATGAGCTCAGGGCTCACTAGCTGGGTTCTGGTCTCAGGAGGACAAAGCACTTAGATGTGAAGGCAAAGTTTACATACAAGACTTCCAAGGTGCTTGATGAAGGAGCAGGGCCAGCAGAAAGGAAGAGTTTAGCTATATTCCCTCTGCCATCTTCCTCCTCCATCTGCTGCTCTCTTCCCCAGACACCAACCATCATGGCAGAGCCTCCTCATCCTTTTGAGCATAAAGCCTAGAATTCACAGAAAGATGAAAGACACTAAGGTACTTCTTCCCCAGGCTCCTGAACCTCAGGTCTGCTCATTTCTGAAATGGGGATGATGATAATTCACACCCAGAGTGATCTTACAAGGATTTATTGGGGGTTTGGCCTGTGGTAGGGCCAACCCCTACTCACATCCCTAAAGGATTTGGAATGCCCTCTCCCGTATCTCCCCCTGTCCCCATACCCCTATTGCAGTTCTGCCACCTGCTCCCCAGGTAGGTGGGGAGCAAGTTCTGTCCCACGGGTGAGGAAAATAGTTTTATGGACTAAGTGAGGTAAAGAATGTAAAAGTGCCTTGGAAGCTAAAATTGTGCCGCAGAGGGATGTGACAGCCAATCATTAATTAGCCCTCATCTCTCCTAGGTTCCCCAGTACTCCAGGATGCCAGGCCAATCCTAGCAGGTTCTCTAAGTTCCTCAGAATTTTGTGGATATTAATTTAGAGATGCAGCACAGCCTACAGGCTAAGAGCATGAGCTTTGCAGCCAGATATCCTTGGTTCAGATATGAGCTCTGCCCACTTCCTAGTTGTGTGAACTTGGGAAAGTTACTTTACCTCTCTGCGCTTCTATTTTCCAGGTGTAAAATGAGGATACAGAATTTTATGCCTCTCCTTCTCCACAAGCCCTAGGGTGGTTTTGAGAATTAAATGTGAATATTATATGTAATGTGCTTAGCACAGTGATGGGCCCCAAACTAGCTCCATATCTGTTTGGTATTACTGATGACATATTCTAGCAATGGCCTTCTCCTCAGCACCATGTAAGGCCTTGTTCCTTTGGAGTCACATTAGCTTCTTAGCCCCGATCAGGGAGGTCAGAGCCAGGGCCCTGACCTCCTTGCTAGCATCCTACAGGAGGCAGTTTCACCCTCTTCCATCAGGGAAAGGGGATAGAGAGTGACCGTGATGGGGATGGGAACAGGTATCCAATAAGATGGCTTTTGAACAGATACCCAAAGGAAGTGAGGACGCAAGTCAAATGGATATCTAGGGGGATGAACCTCCAGGCAAGGGGAGCAGTCAGTGCAAAAGTCCTGAGGAAGAAGTTCACTTGGCACAGTCAGGATCAGCAAGGAAGCCAGTACAGCTGCAGTGGGGTGAACCAGGGAGAGAAGAGCAGGAGTCAATGTCACAGAGGGAACAGGGAGTCAGGGCATACAGAATGTGCAAGCCACAGTACAGAATTTGGATTTTGTCCTCAGTGAGAATCCCACATACTCTCCAGGAATCTCCTTGTGTTTCTGGGTGGGAATTTGTGTCCCCACTGCTCTCTCTGTTCTCTACCCAACTGGGAGCCCCCAAGGGCAGGGGTAAGGGGCTTTGTCCTTGGCCCCCCAGATACTGAGCTCACCTTGAGCTGATACTTGGCCTCCTCCTCCTTGGCTCCCCCTCCCCAAGATGTCACTAAGCATGGGGGTTCAAAATGTTCCTGTGTCAACCACTGGTATCCCTCACATCATCACTGGCTCTTTGGTAGGACACAACTTAAGGGCACAGTTGCCCACCTTGGCCTGACTACCTCAGGAGGATAGAGGGGTAGGCACAACCCTTCTGTAGCCTGGGGTGGTGGTAGAAATGCCCCCACCTGATTTTCTTGGGGATTAGGCACAGGGGCGATTGTGCTATCCTACTGTCAAGGTGCTGCAGATGAAGTGACCAAGAAAGCCATGGGCCGTGAGGGCATGAGATAAACATGGCCCAGTCAGGAAGCAGCTGGAGCAGGAGAGGCTCGGGACCACAGAGCTGTGCCAAAGTGGGTCAGCTCCATCACCCGCAGCTCAGCGGGAATTGTGCGGATTTTTTTTTTATTCTTGCCTCTCTTTTCCCTTTGCGTTCTCCTCCTCTGGACAGATTCGAGAAGTTCCCTGGCCAATTAGGGCAAATTGCAAGATGAGACTCATGAATCACAGTCAACTCACTCCCCCTCCCCAATGCCACAGCTCCCAGGAAGACAATAAATAACGTAATCACAGAATTAAAAAATAATCAGTGGTCATAAATAATGCAGAATCTCCAGTTATGTAACTAGCTGCCTGGAGAGCTGGGAGGGAAGGAAGGCGGTAGCAATGTGTCAAGCAAGGTGAGGGGGCCAGAGGTGAGGGGGGAAGACAAGAGATACAGATTGTGGGATTCCCGGGTCCTCCTCGATCCTGGCTCTAGAGCCTTATGGGACACAGAATTGTTTTTCTTGGAGAGGTGGCTCAGCCAGGGCTGGACGGAGGGTGGGGGCAGGCAGTATTGCAGTGTCCAGCATCACAGAACACTTTCTCAGAAAAGAAGCCCTTGGCTGTTTTTATTAAGCTCTCTGTCTCAACTCATCCACTCACTCAGTGGATGTATTTATAAAGAGTGTGCCAATCCCTGTACCAAATTGTAATGCAATGGTGGGCAAGGTATTCCCTGGCCAACCCTTGTGGGGCTTAGTGTCTTATGGAGAGACAGACATCAACCACATTATGACATATATACTCATTATATTGTAGCAGGGATAAATACTGAATGATATTTTAAGGAAAGGTATGGGGTGTTTTGAGAGCCTTTCATAGGGAAACTGTCCTCAACTTGGGATCAAGGAAGACTTCCTTATAGAAAAGAGATGGATTGAGTAGGAAAGCAGGGTGGCATTCAGGTGAAACCCAGAGCAAAAGTGAGCTCAGTGGGGTTCATAGGGGTGGTGAGGAGGCAGGCCTGGCAGGGTGGAGAGCACAGGGTCCTTGGCCAGATTTGGTGTGTGGTGGTGTTTGGGAGGCTCAGGAGTTTGGGTAGCAGGGAAGTGCTACAAGCACAGGGGTGTCACGGTCCTGTTGGCTGATTAGGAAGTTCCCTGGATGCAGCATGCATCAGGAGCTGGACAGGAAGCTGCTGCCAGCAGGAAGGCTAGACAGGTATGGGTGCAGTTGTTCAGGCGAGGGGCGCTGTGACCAGGACAGAGGTAGGGGACACCCTTGGGATGGGGCCTGAGACCCCCAACAGGTTGTTTCTCAGCCCTTAGCCCTTCCTCTCTAGAATTCCCTCTCGACCCCTCTAGAGCAGATAATTCATGTCCTTAAGGGACCAGGCCCATGAGTCAAGACACCCAATTTCTGTTCTCAGCTCAGCTCCTTCTGGTCTCTGGGCCTCAGTTTCCCTATTAGCAAGAACAGTGAAAAGGGTAGACTCAACACTGCCTCCCGTCCCTTCTGGCTTTGAGGTTCTAGGATTCTGTGACTTTTATGGTTCCATTTCTCTCTCCATTCTCTCTCTCTCCCTCTCTTTCCTTCTGTGTATATAATTATTTTCCCTGCACTCCAAGACAAACTCAAATTACATGTAGGCAAAATGATTATTAAATCTCAGAGAGAAATCACAGATTTCAACACATCCAGAGCAGACCGGCAGGTAGCCTGGGGCCTGCCCCACACCTGCCCTCCCACAGGCCCCGTGACATGAGGCCAGGGATAGGCAGCAGATTTGTGGACTGACCGGGCCCTGCATACAATCTGGGTACCCTTGGCACCTCACTCCCTTTTCTGATTCTCACGTATATCATTTATCAAGTGGAGGTGACCTGCCCCACCTAATAGACTGGGCCAGATTTGCCTGTGGGCCTCAACCATTTGGCTTTTAGAACCTCTTCTGCTTCTGTTCTGTCTGGAGACAGCCCTACTTTAGGGAACATAGGTGCCATGTACTGAGGTTTAAAAGGCCTAATATGTCCCATTATCCTGCCACAGGCACTGGAAATGTCCCCATCACAGTGTCATTCCTTTGGTGAGGAACTGATTTCTCTCAGCTCTTGGCCCTGGTAACAGAGGCCTGGTCACATTATAGCACCCATGGGTGTATGGCGGATATCGGTAGTCTGCATTGTTCTGCATGCTTTCTGTGCATTGAGTAATTAAATCTTCACAACAGCCCCAACAAGTAGGTACTACCAGAGTTCTCCTTTGATGAAGAAACTTATGTGGAGACATTGAATAACGTGACTAAGATCACAAAGCCAGTAGACTGTGAGGCCAGGATTGGATCCTAGGTGTAGCTCCAGAGCCTAGATTCTTAGGTGCTTGGCTGTGCTTACTCTGCAGTTTGATGCACATTCATTTCTGTTCAGTTTCCACCACCTGGGTGAGAAGAGTGTCACTCCACTTTATGAGGGAGGCAAATGGGACCTGACGAGGAAAATCACCTGCCTCAAGTTCTTTAGCCAAGATGTGGCAGACTTGAGACTTGAACCCAGGCCTCCCTCTTTTCCTTCCTTTCATATCCCCAGGATAGAACCAGATAGGGTCATTCTAAAAGAGACGGGGAAGAGCCCAAATGTGAAGGCCACCTGAGCAGGTGGCTGGCAAGGGCTTCTTGGGTGCGGGGAGTGTTTCCAGGCCTGAAGGCTTCAGGGCCCCTTCCCTGTACACCCTGGATCTTCCTCACGGGGCATTAGGAGCCCAGCTTTTGGGCCTGGCCTGGCCTCAGCCAACCTTGTGCCATCACAGCCAAGTCACTTAACTCCAGATTCCTACTAGCATTGTGCCCTCTTATGCAGCAGCAGACTCTCAGCAGCTAGCTTGATGGGGGAGTCTAATTGGAAGGCATGGCCACCGCAGAGGTACAGGGCCACTCCAGAGGCCAGCAGTACCCTGTGGTGCTATTTCTTTACCAACTTGAATCCCCAGGACTCTAAGCCAGTCAAAGTTTGTCCCCAGACTAACAGCAGCAGCACCAGGAAGTCTGTTAGATCTGCAACTTCTTGAGCCCCACCCAAAACCTACCGAATCAGAAACTGGGGGTGGAGGGGGGCGGTGACCTGATGCGCACTCCAGTTTGAGAGCTTCTACTCTAGGCCAGGGTCCTTACCATGTCTCAGACAGGGCTTGAGTTAAACAAGAGCTTCTGGGGAATGTAAGCTTCTCTGTGGTACAGGAGTCATTACAGTGAGAAACATAAGAGGGCATGGCCAGATCGGAGGGTAGGGCCCTATGCCCATTGCCTGCCCAAGCCTAGAAATCACAGCAGCACTCAGAGCAGTGTGCAGTCTTGCAGGGGCCTCGCAGAGGCAGGAATCTCAGCTCCACTAATGACTGGTTCCTCAGGCCCGTCATCTATTCACCTATGACCTCAGGAGATGAAGATCTCATGGGTGGAAAGCCTGACACACAGTAGGTACTCAGAGATGGGAGATGATGTCACTTTTATCACTAGTGGCCCACTGAGCCCTTTCACTGCCCTTCTCATTGTTCCTCATGAAGCTGTAGTGAGATTAGCAGGGCTGGAGTTATCAGGCCTACTTGGTAGCAAATGAAGTTGAGGTCCAGAGAGGTTATGTGACCTACCCAAAGACACAAAACAATGTCTAAGCTGAGTCTGGAATCCAGGTGTCTTGACTCCCGCAGCTCTTCTGCAGGCCTTAGCCAAGTGTTCTGGCCACCCCTGAAGCCACAGGGGATGGTCGTCCCTAGGCATCAATACTCCAGAACAGCTTAAGTCACTCCTACAAACAGAGTCCTAGAATCTCAGAGATGGAAGGAAGCTTGGAGATCAACTAGTTCACCCAACTCCCCATTTACAGATTGAGAAACTGAAACCTAAGAGGGAAATTGACTGACTAAGTCACCTGCATGGGACCCCCTGACCAAGCAGACATCCCTCTGACCTAGACTCCTCCTGCCCCCTCAGTTTTGCCCTTGCTTTCCTGTTTCATTTTGGGGTGCTTCTACTCTTGCAGAACACCTAGTACATCCCTGGACAGAAGTAGTCTTCAGTAAAGGTTTGTTGACTAGGGAGTTCATTAGGTGATTAATAAGTTGATTACTCTGACCCCAGGTAAGAACACTGGAGAGGTGCTGGGAGTTGGCCCTGGGCTAGGGGACTCACCATATATCGCTTTGTCTCTGGGTCTCTTGGCTCTTCAGCTTTGCTTTTGTTGTTCTCCTGTTTTTATATTTGGCCCAAAGCTTGTCTCCTTCTCTTGATTGTCTTCTCCCTATGTCTCTTCCTGGGTCTCCTCCTTATTTTTCTCACTATCTTTGTCCCTAATTCACGTAGCTGACAGTGGCCTAGGCCGGGGGATGTCCTAAGGCAGGGCTGCCTGCACAGAGGCAGAGCTTCACTCTATGTGGGGTGAGCAGGATGCAGTGACCTCATAGCTGAGCTGCCCCACCTTGAGTGCATTTAACAGACAGTTCTGGGCCCAGGATGAATGGATTTTTTTATTGCTTACCAAATAATGCTTATTTTATTCCTTTCCCCAACAAGCCAGGATTGATCTCCACTCATCAGGAGCTAGGGTGCATGGGGGTGGGGTAGGGAAGCCCCTTGGGGGATCAGCTGCACAGGCTAGTCCAGAATGCTTCCTGGTCACCCCATATTATTTTCTCTCTGTGGGTGGGAGGACCTCTCATCTCTCCACTGAGTAGATTGCTGGAGTCTCTCAGCCCTCTTTAAATGGCTCCCTCTCAGTCAAAGAAAGATCAAGCTCTGAGCTTAGACCAGCAGCCGGCTTTAGGGGAGAGGGGTGTGTGAATGAATTGAATGCAGGGTTGGAAGGCAGTCCTCTCTCCCCGCAAGAGACTGAGGAGTGGAAAATAGAAATGGCTGGAGCAAGCTTTGTTCACCCCGATCCAGTTTGGGTCCTCAATAGGGAAAACAAGCCTGCAACCTCAAATCCAGTCACCATCCTGTAGGGTTATCAGCCAGGGGCATGAGGGAGGGGCATGCTCACACCTAGGTGATGCTAGGTCTGGCTGGGCCCCTCTCACCCCTCTGCCTTTCCCTGGCCAGGTGGTGAGCCAGATTGATAAGCTAACCTCAGACTTCGACTTTGAACTGGAACCGGATGACTGGACCACGGCCACTGTGAGCAGCACCTCCAGCAGCGACAAGGCGGGCATAGGTGGCCCTTTTGACCTGGGCCACCTCGACTTCATGACAGCTGACATCCTCTCAGACAGCTGGGAGTTCTGCTCCTTCCTGGACGTCTCTACCCCCTCAGACTCTGTGGATGGCCCAGAGCCAAACCGGCCAGGGGCTGGCCCTGACTACCGGCTCATGAATGGTGGCATGCCAATTCCCAATGGGCCACGGGTGGAGACCCCAGACTCCTCTAGCGAGGAGGCCTTCAGCACAGGCCCTGCCAAGGGCCAGCTGCCCCAGCGGACCCCGGGCACACGGGAGAGAGTGCGGTTCAGTGACAAAGTGCTCTACCATGCTTTGTGCTGTGATGATGAAGAGGGGAATGGCGAGGAGGCAGTGGCAGAGGAGGAGGTGGGCCTGTCCCCAGAGACTCCCCGTACAGAGGTCCATGTGGGGCCTCTCAAGACCTCCCTGGCCCCCTACAAGCCGAGGCGCTCTCCACTGACCGGCCACCGCTCAGGCCCCACCTCGGCTCCTGAGCAGACCCGAAGGGTCACAAGGAACAGCAGCACCCAGACAGTGTCAGACAAGAGCACGCAGACGGTATTGCCCTACACGGCCACCAAACAGAAAGCCAAGGGGAAAAACTAGGGGCCAGGGAGGGGGCATAGTGGTGGGCACATAGAGTTATAAATATATACATATATATTTAAACAAACTCAGTCATAATAAAATTTAAAAATGCTAAGGATCCAGCCCTGCAGGCCCCAAAGCTTTCCCGGAGCTCATCTAAGAGACAGAGACTCCTACTCACCTCTTAGGTCCCAGGAGGTGTGCCTAGAACCTCCCTTCCTTCCTTCTCATTGTAGGGCTCCTAAAGGAGGGGCGTGTCTGAAAGTAGGTCAATGAGGTGGGGGAGGTCTAACCGGTACTCCTCTTGAATCTGGCTGCTTGCCTAGGCCGTGTCCTGTAGGGATTCATCTGCAGGAGGCAGCTCTCAAGGAGCAGTGTCCAAGGCCAGGGCTAACAGTCAGCATGTTGCAGAGGGGACCGTAGCACTGAGGGCCTGGGGTGGCATCACTTCAGCTGGGCCAAGGATCACCTGCCTTCAACTCTAAGGCAGACTTTGCTTCTCCTTCCCAAAGGCAAACTTACCTGGGTATACACAACCCTATCCTGCCCCCGATCTCAGGGTTGCCCAGGACACAGAGCAAGATGCTCCCATGGCGTGGGCTTCCATGCTACAAAGCTGAGCTTGCACAGACCGTGGAGGGCTGGGCTGCACAGGGGTTTGGAGAGCCTGGACCACTCCCAAACCTTTCTACTCCATGTTCATTCTTATCCTCAAAGGAGTCTCAGCCAGTCCCTGGCTCTGCGTTGAGCACAGCTGAGGTGCACATGAGAAAGCAGGCAGCAACCACCATGCAGCCATGAACCAGGGCCAGAGACAGGTCCTGATGCGCATCAGCAGGCAGGCAACCCCAGAGAGGAATCCAGTGGCCCCACTCTGTCTCAGCTCCTCCACACTGGGACTCTGAGGCCATCTTGGCAGGTCTTGAATGACATTAATAGAGAAATGATGGGAACCCAGAAGTACCAGAGCTTCACCTATGGCGTGGTCCACACAGGGACAGCATCCGAATATCCTCATGATAATAATCCCAATCACTGCTCGTATTTATTGAGCAGGTCTCTATGTCACTACTATCCTGAGTACATTTTATAGCATAATCTCATTTAATCTTCACAGTAACCCAAGAAGACAGGAACTATTGCTATCCTCATTTTTCAAATGAGAAGACTGAGGTTCAGAGAGGTTAAGTAACTGGCCCAAGGTCACAGCCTGCGTCATCCTGTCCCCCATGAACATGTAGTTTCCAGGCTATACCTGGCTCTGCTGTCTGGGAGCTGTATGACCTTGGACAAGTCCATTTGCCTCTCTGAGCCAATCTACCTCATCTATAAAATGGGTCTGATGGTGTTTAGCCACCCCGCCAGCTGCTGTGGAACTTTGACAAGATGGGGAATGTAAAAAGACTTGGTAAATGTCAAGGTGCTGGACATGTATTGTAGTCAATGAAACCCCAACCTAGATTTCAGTGTTTTCTAGGGTGAGGAGCCCTGAGTGGGGTGGGAAAGAAGCTACTCCTGTTGACTGGGAGCTGTCCCTGGATCATTGCTTGGCCTTGTCCCCCATAGCAGCTTGAGATTGAGAAGTGGCCAGTTTTATTCTCTCTCACTCTCTCGGAGCAGGGAGGTGGCATTGCAAGGATATCGCTCCTCAGGTGCCTCCCTGTGGCACATTCAATTAAGGCAGACTTACAGCCTGCCAGGGCCTATGGGGAAGGGTCTCTGCTCCTCAGGTCAGGGCCCAGGAGAACCTGACCAGCAGTCTGGCAGCACCCACTGAGGGGCCAAAGGAAGTGCTGTGCAGCCCCGGGGGTGGGGAGACATTTTATTAGACACTCTGGAGCGGATGCCAGGGATGCCATCAGGATGAGATGGGCTTAGGAGGCCAATGCTGCAGTGTAGGGCTCTCCCCTACACCCTAAAAAGCTAGCCAGGGTGCAGCCTCCAGGTTGGAAATCCAGGGTAGGGGGGCATGGCTACCTGTTTCCAGCCAGGCCTGAGAGCCAGAGATCTGAGTTCCTCTGTTAGCCCCAGGACCCTCTTGGGCAGTTGGTGTTGATCAGTGATAGGACCCTGGTTCAAAGGATGAATGCCAGGACTCCCATTAGGGAGAGGCAGCTGGTTCTTCCCTGTCTGGCAGTGAGGAGGGACACACCTAGCTCTAAGGAGAGATATCTGGGACTTTTTGCTCTCCAATAGCAAAATTGTTTGTAGACTTATAGTCTCCTAGTTTTATAACAGGGAAAAGAAATCTACAGAGTATCTGTTTCATCAAGGAAGAAACTGAGGCCCAGGGCAGGGGTCTCTGAGAAAACCCTGGGTAAGGCATTGTCCTCTCCTGAGAAACCCCACCCCACTCTTTCATGTGATTGCATGTGGCCATGGCTAACATCTACCACTTGGCTACTTGCTCCAAATGGGACAGTGATACAACGGTGTCCTAGAGGAGGGGGAAGTGGTATAGGTTAAGGAAGGGCCCCAAAGTGCTTGGCTGCCCTTGTATTTATGCCACACCTAGTCTGAGCCTCACTGACAGTGAGATGGATCCCCATGCTTTCTTATGACTTGAAAGACCTCTGCAAAGAATTGTGACTGTCAGAGCTATTGAGCACAGAATATACTGCTTCAGAGTGGTGAGCTTCCTTTTCTGGAGGCAGACGCAGCTATCCCCGGGACTTCCCCCAGACTTGCCTGCTCCTCCAGGCACAATCCCTCACTGCTCTTCCCCACCTCCAAAGCTCTGCCGATTTCTGGGTTTCCTTACCCAGAATGGTCCCATCAGATCTCCCTGTTTCTAGGAAGTCTTATTTCATTGACCACCTACTGTGAGCTCAGGCTTGTGATAACTGGTGCTGTGGAGAAGGCTGAGGGAGGCAGGTGCCATGACACAGAGACAAGTCATAATCATAACAGCTCACGTTTGTTGAGCACATACTGTGCACCTAAGCATATGCCTTATCACATTTATTCCTCATGACGAATATGAGATAAGCAAGTATATTTACACCTGCTTTCCAGATGAGGAAACTGAGACCCTGAGAAGTTAGTAACTTGCCTAAGGGCACAGGATAGGTATGACACCAGAGTGACCCCACACTCAGTGACTCAAACATCTGCTATAGTCATATCTGTGGTGGAGCCAGTGCTCTGGTCTCTCGGGGGTGAGGGAGGGCCTGGGGATTTGAGAGCTAGGTGGGCCTTTGGTGGGATGTGAGTGTTGGAAGCAGGAAACCTGTGAATGCCATTCAGTCTTTGGAGAGCTTGGCTACTATTAATGGCCCTTGACACAGAGCCTGGCACCAAATAGATTATGGTTTCAATAAATGTTTGTTCAATGAATGAACCCCATTTGCAGAGGGAGCATTCATTCAATAACTTTTATTGCAGACCTCCTACATGCCAGGTCTTATGTTGCTTGTGCATACACACATGACTCCCCTAATTGAGTCTGGCCTTGTGTGGCCTGGCAGCCAGGGGAAGTGCTGAGAAGCCAAAGGTGGTGATGGGTCCAGACTGTGTCTCTGAGAAAGAGGCCAGGAGCATGAGACAGGAGGTCGGCTTTGTGAGGAGACCACTCTGCAATGCGGGGAAGTGGTGGTGGTAGTGGTGAGGTCCTTAGCCTGACACTACTTTACTGAGGCTGGCACATTGGAGTGTATCCATTGTCTGTGAATGAGAAGTCCTCATCATCCCCATTTTGTAGACAAGGGACAGGCTATCTAGTCTATAGGAGTTTGATGGGACCAAGGAGCAGAAAGCAGGGTAAACCAGAGACTCCAGTACCATTCCCTACCCTTAGAGACAAAATGAGGCCCTATCAACAGAAGAGAAAAAGGCAGGGGGTAAGCTAGAAATTCAAGGCAGGCCTAGCCAGGTACTCCTGCCCCTCCCAAGTTCCCTTTCTTTGTACCCCCTGTCCCCTGCTGCCACGCCCCCACCTATCTCCCATTCTCCAGCTGGAACTTGTGTAAGAAAACTGACATTTATTGACCACCTGGTATATGCCAGGCACTGTGCTGCATCTTTAACTAACACAGATTTAGTTGTGCCTAGCACATAATAGGTTGCTCAATAATTATCTATTGAATAAATGGATGAACCACAATCTTTATTTTATAAGTGAGGAAGCTGATGAACAAATAAGGAATATTCAAAGTTGCACAGTCAGAAATTGGTGGAGCTGGGGATTTAAGATCATTAATATTTATTATTTATGCTACATAAGAGCTGCTATTTCTAGAACACCTACAATACAATGCATTAGGCACTTTGCATAAATTGTCTTACTGACAACAACCCCTCAAAGCAACTGAGACAATTATCATTTTACAAATGAGGAAAGAGACTCAGAGGGTATAGTATCCTGCCAAAAATAACAAACTCCTCAGTGCAGAAACAAAATCTAAATCTAGACTTCACCCTGCTTACCACACTTCTAGCTTCAGGGGATCTAGAATCCCCGTAAGCAGAGATGTTGCCAGAGCCCAGATTCACCCTTGGCACAACTGAGCAGTGCTCATCAGGTTTTGGGTGCTGCTTTCTCCAACTTGGCACTCAGGCCCCTGGGAATGTTAGCCCAGACTCCTAGGACCCACTCCAGGTTCCCTGTGGGTCTGGGGCACTGACTTGTAACCAGCCCAAATAGCTCCAGGTCCAAAGTATCCTTTCCCCATTCTCATATCTGTGGCAGACCCTGGAAGACTAGGCTGCCTTTAGTCCCTTTCTGGTCTGGGCTGAACTGGCTTTAGCTAGGAAAGCTTCTTTGAGGAGGTGGGATCTGAAACAGAATTTATTTGTGATAGAGTAGAACTTGGGCATCTGGAAATAAGAACTAAGGGCATTTGAGGCAGGTGGAACTTTACAAAGATGGCTGAGGGGCCACACAGTAGAAAGGAGAGAAAGACTTTGCAAAAGCAGAGAGGGCAAAATGTAGCAAGGGACTTGAGAGTCCCATAGCATCCTCAGAGCCAATCCATCCTCTTGAGTATGGGAGAAGGAATTGAGTTTTCCTGTCTAGTATGAGGCTAGGAGAATAGATTGAAGAGAGCTCAGCAGATAGGGAACCACTGTAATGAATAGATAAGAATAGCACATATTTAGCACATTGGTAAGTAAAATAGA